TTTTGACATGACAGACTATAATATTCTTATAAAAATTTTTTTTGAAACAATGAAATTCAACCCTAGGCTATTAAAGTTAATAACATCCTTTCTGCGAAATAGAAAACAAATAACCCCATAAAGTAAATCACTATGACAGACAACTACCTTAAATACTGGGGTGCCCCAGAGCTCGATTCTCCGCCCTCTGTTATTCAGTATTTACATAAATGATCTTCCCTTATGTCTGACGTCGTCCTGCGATTTATTAGCGGACATCTGTACCATCTATGCAAGTGCTCAAACATGTAATGTACTAGAGTCGTCATTATAACAAGAACTAACCAATGTAGCTAAACTGAGCGGTGCAAACCGTGTGCAAATAAACATTATTAAAACAAAATCTATGCTAATAACGATCAGAGAAAAACTTAATAGCTTAAATTCAAAGAGAACGCTTTAACTTTACATTGGGAGGACTCAAGTGCAAAGTGTAAATGAGCACAAAGCACTGGGTTTGATCATTGATGCAAATCTAACCTTCAACTCACACGTACAAGCATTTGTGAAGCAGACAGCTTTAAAGGTTTACAAACTCGCAAAAATTAGAAACTTTCTTGACCAAAATACAAGACAGATATTCTATATTTCTCACATACAAACATATATAGACTATTGCTCTACAATATGGGGTGGTTTTTCCAGTCCTGTCATCAAGTTTAGTGAACGTCTACTTTTCAATACGGCGAAATTTATTCACAAAATATTATTCCAAAAGCCTTCATGTTGATTATGGCCGTTGTTTAAATATATCGGAAGACATAGTAAACGCCTAATCATTTTGCACATTCCTAAACATAGGAAAGATTTATACAAAATATTTTTGGTCCACTCCGCAGCTAAGTTGTAGAACTGTCTTCCACAACAAGTCAAACAACAAGTCCCTATACATACAATCGGAAACTGAGCACAGATTACATGCCCCCATAGAAGTATTTTTTTTTTTTTTTTTTAGGAATAGCGCATATTTTCCCTAGATTCACTACAATCACTACGGTTTACTGCAATTAGAAATATAGACATTTCAGTGCTTGCAATGAATACTTTGATGCTATTGATAATGTTCACTACTTCATGTATGAATGAAATGATGTAAGAATTGAGGGAGACCTCGAAGAGCATAATGTTAGATGGGCCTGCGTGCCCAGTTCTTAACCCTTTAAAAGTAAAGTTCGACCGTTCGTTTGTTCATCTAGTTAGGCACTGTTTCAAATTTCAACTATTTACACCGAACGGCTGCTCAGTTACATATTTTACAAGTTATTTCTGGAACGGACTATATTATAATTTAGCCTAGAAACAGTATAATGTAGTAAACACAAATGTAGTATAATGTAGACGAGTCTCAGTAATAACAGGTTGGTGGGATATGTTTAGCCTGCTAATAATTTGGGTTTGGCTACACTTGCAAATTAAAAACGGCAGATTTGCAGATCAGGACTCTTTGGAAGTAGCCAATGAGCCTAAAAGTTGATATAAGGCACAACGCAGCAAAACAGAGTCTCTTTGCTTTTTGTTTTTTGTATTTTGGTCTCGCCGCTCGCCCTAAGGACATGTTGTCCTCCTATCGTTGCAGAGCTGTACAGGGCTCTAAAAAAAAAAAAAAAAGCACTGTAGGTACGGTGAACCAAGTCGAGAGAGATCAACTGGCTTATTATTTTCTTGTTTGGCGGTATGTTTAGTAGTTAGAATGTGTTAGATCTAGATCCGATTAGCACACGGTCTGTCGAACATGTTGTTGATTGTTAATATATTTATCTTCGAAGCACGCCAGTTTTGTGTTTAGAAAAATAAACAGATGTTGAATGTGATTATTATATTCAATTTCTTTGATTCAGAACAGGACATTTAGTTCGTGCACTTGGTCCAACTAGGAGCTGCCTGTGTAGTTATATGTTATAATCCTTGTTGAGTAATTCACTTTCATATATTCCTCGCGTGAGCCATGAGCAATATTTAATGGTTCCTGGACCAGAAGAACCTTGGTCTGTTCTGCACTTCTCCTGTTTTTGCATCCAATGGGGAACTGTTTTTTGTCTTAACCACATTTCTTTTATTGTCTCCCTTCCTGTTTTCACATTTTCGCTTCCTGCTAGCTCATATATGCGCGTGCGCGTTTGTTTGTAAGTGTGTAAGTATTAGCAGCTTGTGGTAACTAGTAGTAGTGCTATCATCAAGTGCTTTGTCGACTGGCGGGGACGAACATTCTTCGCCAAAATACTGCGATCTGGAACATCTTGTATGTTGACACCCCTCCGCGAAAGGATGTCAAGAATCTTCTCGCGACGTCTTCCCCTGTCTCGTCTCTCTTTCCACAGATCGTTCCACTGCTCACCTTTTTCAGTTTCCCTTTTCTTATAACATGGCCATAAAATGATGAATGCTTCTTTTGATGTTTCTGATAAGTTATCTTGGAGCATACAGTAACTTATTATAACACTTACCCAGGTGTCGGCTTTTCTTGTTTCTTTTTCCCCTTTTTTGGGCTGAAGAAAAAAAAAATGGAAGAACGTCATCAAATGGTGACCCACTCAATTAAACAACGGAACAGTACTCAAAGCGTTAAAAAACTAAAAATCTTCCCGAAGGAAAAAAAGTCTGTCTGTCTGTCTGTCTGTCTGTCTGTCTGTCTGTCTGTCTGTCTGTCTGTCTGTCTGTCTGTCTGTCTGTCTGTCTGTCTGTCTGTCTGTCTGTCTGTCTGTCTGTCTGTAAACAATTTGTATAAGTATAATATTCAATCTTATACAATCTGTATCAGTTTAATATTTAATCTGTCTTTGTCAATTAAGAAAGAGAATTTTTAAAAGCTACAAAGATCCAATAGTGATACAGCTTCTACTATTTTCCTTTTTCAGATTAGTGAAATAAAAAATATTGGGAAGCTGTGCAGATGCGGTTTGAGAGAGGAATGATGGGAATAATCTGGACAGGTTAAAACACAAAAAGTAATGAAGATGTTGTGCAAGAAACTGACGCACAAAGAGAACTGACTGCCCACATCAGGGGGAGACAATCGACATTCTTTGGTCATGTGATGAGAAGGAGACAACTGGAGTACATTGTGACAGTAGTAGTAATAGTGAATTTTACCCCACTAGGACATCACACAAGTGATAAACACTCGATGACACAAAGTGCCACTATGTGGATGAGGATCACCCGTGGAGTGGTCCCGGAAACCGCGTACAGCTATTGGGCCATATTTCATAACCGGGCTATAATGCGACCCCTGGCAGGGTGGGGCTTCAAAATAACTAACAACTGCACCCCACGGAGGCGGAGGGGGAGGGGGGAATGACTATAGTCAATACAAACATCCAATCGTGACAGTAGAAAAGTTGGAGGGGAAGAGAGAAGGAGACAGAAAGAAAAGATGTTGGACAGTTTGACATTATTACAAAGAGGGTCATCTGTGTCTGAGGTGACTGAAGGTACAGAGAGAGAAAGTTGTGGATAGACATGACCATTAACGCCCCACAGCACGGACTTTAAGAAGAAGATCAGTACAATATGTATGTATGTATGTATGTATGTATGTATGTATGTATGTATGTATGTATGTATGTATGTATGTATGTATGTATGTATGTATGTATGTATGTATGTATGTATGTATGTATGTATGTATGTATGTATGTATGTATGTATGTATGTATGTATGTATGTATGTATGTATGTATGTATGTATGTATGTATGTATGTATGTATGTATGTATGTATGTATGTATGTATGTATGTGTATGTATGTATGTATGTATGTATGTATGTATGTATGTATGTATGTATGTATGTATGTATGTATGTATGTATGTATGTATGTATGTATGTATGTATGTATGTATGTATGTATGTATGTATGTATGTATGTATGTATGTATGTATGTATGTATGTATGTATGTATGTATGTATGTATGTATGTATGTATGTATGTATGTATGTATGTATGTATGTATGTATGTATGTATGTATGTATGTATGTATGTATGTATGTATGTATGTATGTATGTATGTATGTATGTATGTATGTATGTATGTATGTATGTATGTATGTATGTATGTATGTATGTATGTATGTATGTATGTATGTATGTATGTATGTATGTATGTATGTATGTATGTATGTATGTATGTATGTATGTATGTATGTATGTATGTATGTATGTATGTATGTATGTATGTATGTATGTATGTATGTATGTATGTATGTATGTATGTATGTATGTATGTATGTATGTATGTATGTATGTATGTATGTATGTATGTATGTATGTATGTATGTATGTATGTATGTATGTATGTATGTATGTATGTATGTATGTATGTATGTATGTATGTATGTATGTATGTATGTATGTATGTATGTATGTATGTATGTATGTATGTATGTATGTATGTATGTATGTATGTATGTATGTATGTATGTATGTATGTATGTATGTATGTATGTATGTATGTATGTATGTATGTATGTATGTATGTATGTATGTATGTATGTATGTATGTATGTATGTATGTATGTATGTATGTATGTATGTATGTATGTATGTATGTATGTATGTATGTATGTATGTATGTATGTATGTATGTATGTATGTATGTATGTATGTATGTATGTATGTATGTATGTATGTATGTATGTATGTATGTATGTATGTATGTATGTATGTATGTATGTATGTATGTATGTATGTATGTATGTATGTATGTATGTATGTATGTATGTATGTATGTATGTATGTATGTATGTATGTATGTATGTATGTATGTATGTATGTATGTATGTATGTATGTATGTATGTATGTATGTATGTATGTATGTATGTATGTATGTATGTATGTATGTATGTATGTATGTATGTATGTATGTATGTATGTATGTATGTATGTATGTATGTATGTATGTATGTATGTATGTATGTATGTATGTATGTATGTATGTATGTATGTATGTATGTATGGATGGATGGATGCATGCATGCATGCATGCATGCATGCATGCATGCATGCATGCATGCATGTATGTATGTATGTATGTATGTATGTATGTATGTATGTATGTATGTATGTATGTATGTATGTATGTATGTATGTATGTATGTATGTATGTATGTATGTATGTATGTATGTATGTATGTATGTATGTATGTATGTATGTATGTATGTATGTATGTAAGTATGTATGTATGTATGTATGTATGTATGTATGTATGTATGTATGTATGTATGTATGTATGTATGTATGTATGTATGTATGTATGTATGTATGTATGTATGTATGTATGTATGTATGTATGTATGTATGTATGTATGTATGTATGTTTATATATATATATATATATATATATATATATATATATATATATATATATATATATATATATATATATATATATATATATATATATATATATATATGATGTTGTTTGTTTTAGTAGTCGGCTCTGTGGCTAAGTCGATGCGAACGCTTCGTACTGCCGGTATGCCGGGTTCGATCCCAGCTGCGTTGGTTTCGACAGTGGTATCAAGAAAGCCGACTGTCCAGAAAGGAATGGCAAATTACTGGACGTATTTGCCTAGAAAAATCACACTAGAGCCAGGGGCTGTTGAGGTTGGTTCTGTAACGTCCTGTAAAGGATACGCAACTAACTAACCTTGTTTTAGTATCCAGAAGCCATGAGTGTTTAACCCTTAGGCCTGGTATTATGGATATCGCAACCTTTCGGCCTTGATTTTATTGTAAATACCGTAAATCTGGGAGAAATGTGGATTTTGTGGTTACCCCAAGGATTGAACCCGGACCACAAAGAGTTCGCCACCCGGTCACCGAGCAATCCGGTTTAGCCAGCTACGCTAGAGAGCCGGGCATATATTTATATAAAATGGTGTTTTCTAAATCCAGTTGTTTCGCCTTGAATTGATCCTAGCAATTATTTCTCAGGTTTCCCGTGAACTTGTTTCCCCGAAGGTAATTAACTTGTCTCCCATGTATTTATCAGGTTTCCATTGTTATTGTCATACGGTAAAATTGAAACATCGTTAGAACTGAAATTAGGTTAACTTGGTTTCAAACTATGTAGTTTGGATCCATTCTTTATTCCGGCTTGTTAAGCTGTCGCTGCATTGCCTCTATATACTAAAACATAAAAAGAAGAAATAGCATTATTAGCGGTACCAGAAAAATAAAACGCATACTTGTTGGCGAAGAACCGCTCTCGGATTTCCGAAGAAGTAATTCGTTTCAAATCCTTCCGCTGATCAGGTAGAGTGTCTTTACTTTCCTTCTCTATCTCCTCAAGAACGTTCACCAGATCGTTGGTCGACCCTATGGCTACTCCAGCTTCCAGCTCCGGGTCATCTGGAGGTCTTGGTTGAATAGAAGAGTTATTCAATTTAATTGTCAAACTGTAGCAGAAATCAAGCGAGCTCGTCCAGATTGCTTTAAGTCAAGAATTTGTCAATGTCAGAGGCTAGTTCGGCTGTGGGAAGCACCACAGATGATAGTGTATCATCACGTTTGTACGAGTTGACCTTCAGTACAACTCAGTATGAGAGCGGACAGCTAGGCCACGCAATAAACTGGGTCCAGTTAACAGGCCAGGTCCAGTTCACTCAGTTGACACGGATTGCTGCGTGTTGAGTCATGAACTCAGGGGGAGTTGTGTGCTAGGACAGGACGAGAGAAGACGGAACAAGTGACTAGGTAACAATTAGGTTTAGCGACGGTTAGTTGTAATAGGGTATTTGTATTTAGGATTGATGATAGGCTGTGTTTCTATGTTTAGACTAGATAGTATAGAGTTAAGGTCCTTTGTGTAGTAGACATTCCTTGCAGTATTTGTTTGAGCAGTTAGCGAAGGCGTGACGCGCATTGTAATGGCGGTAACACTGCTCGGTCACGCTTAGGCCATACACCTTATGTGTATCGCTGAGTCCCGTTTGGCAATAGATGGCGGATTAATTAGCACTAAGAAACCAGCAGCTAAGAATCGTGTTCCCGATAGATCCGTGGGAACTGGCCTGGGATTTTAAAGCTGCCATCGCCAGGGAATTTCGGATTGGAACTGCTTAGCTCGGTTGAGGTGTTTAACGTACGTATTGTTCATTGTAAATTAAAGATTATGTTTGTACTCAGCAGGAGTATTGTCTTAAGTGTGTCTGGGTAGTTACGTCTGTCAGCTGGCCTACCTAGCGAGCCAAATAAAATAATTAGAGTAGATTAGGTCCCTGACAGTCAAGAAAGAGAATAACAAAAATAATTAAGAAGTAGCTAAGAAGTTATAAACAAAGGACATAGTGTAAGCGGACAAGACGGAGTGGTCTTACAATGGTAAGTGGGACAGAGAGAGTAAAGAAAATCTGAAAAAACAAACAAAACAAAACTAAGTGGTTAAGAAATGGCCACAAAGGAGTTAACGCAAATAGGGAAGAAGTTGTAAGGAAGATTTACAACGTAAGAACAATATGAAGTAGAATGTAAGTGATAGAGAAGAAAAAGTTAGCCCAGTAACCAAAAAGTGACAAAGAAAGCGTAGTATGTAAGTCGGCAAAAAAGTAAGTCGAATCTAAGTGGTCAACAAGTTGATAAAAGAGAAAACAGTGTAACTGGTCAAGAATGGGTAAAAAATATGTGGAATGTAAGTGGTGAAGAAGGGGTGAAGAATATGTAGAATGTAAGTAGTCAAGAAAGGGTCAAAAATATGTAGAATGTAAGTAGCCAAGAAGGGGTTAAGAATGTGTAGAATGTAAGTAGTCAAGAAGGGGTTAGGAATGTGTAGAATGTAAGTAGTCAAGAAGGGGCGAAGAATGTGTAGAATGTAAGTAGTCAAGAAGGGGTCAAGAATATGTAGAATGTAAGTAGTCAAGAAGGGGTCAAGACTATGTAGAATGTAAGTAGTCAAGAAGGGGTGAAGAATGTGTAGAATGTAAGTAGTCAAGAAGGGGTCAAGAATATGTAGAATGTAAGTGGTCAAGAAAGGGTAAAAAATATGTAGAATGTAAGTAGCCAAGAAGGGGTGAGGAATGTGTAGAATGTAAGTAGTCAAGAAGGGGTTAGGAATGTTTAGAATGTAAGTAGTCAAGAAGGGGTTAGGAATGTGTAGAATGTAAGTAGTCAAGAAGGGGTTAGAGATGTGTAGAATGTAAGTAGTCAAGAAGGGGTGAAGAATGTGTAGAATGTAAGTAGCCAAGAAGGGGCGAAGAATGTGTAGAATGTAAGTAGCCAAGAAGGGGTGAAGAATGTGTAGAATGTAAGTAGTCAAGAAGGGGTCAAGAATATGTAGAATGTAAGCGGTCAAAAAATGGTCAAAAATATGTAGAATGTAAGTAGCCAAGAAGGGGTGAGGAATGTGTAGAATGTAAGTAGTCAAGAAGGGGTGAAGAATGTGTAGAATGTAAGTAGTCAAGAAGGGGTGAAGAATGTGTAGAATGTAAATACTAATGAAAAAGCCAAGAATATGTAGAATATAAGTATCCAAGAAGACACCAAGAATGGGCAGAATGGTGTGGACAAGGAGAGAATGTAATAGACCAAGAAGAAATAAACTGTAATGTATGTGCTCAAGACGGAGTAGAATGTAACTTCCCTAGAAAGTGCGTATTGTAAATGGTGAACAATATGAATGTAAGTGGTCAAGAAGTAGCCAACGGACTACCTAGCTAGACTTCATTACTTTATCGCCTTTCTCAGTTTTACAAGCTGCATATTCTGGCTTTCTCAAAGTCTGAAGTGCCTGATGTATTAACACTGTGTGCAGGTCTTTCGTGCATTTGTAGTTTGTGAGCGTGTCATCAACACAAATCAGAACCAGATTTTCTTCGAAGAGCCTCTAATCGAACCCAATGTTTTGTGCGGTTGCCTGCTATTTTAGGTGACCAGTGGACACATGACAGGAAGTTTAGTACAATATATAAGATCAGCACGTGGGTATTCATGGCGTAGTGGTCAAGTCGTTTGGCTCCCGCTCCAAAGGTCGGGGACTCATTTCACCGATTGCGGCGTTTAGGTCGTGGGTGCACTTTGTCACTGAGTTTCATCGCTAGAGTTACAGAGCTCGTGCTTGTTCGATTCTCTCGGCAAGACGCAAGCCGTTCTGCTGAGAGAAACCCAGCTATACTGGATAAGCACCGGTGCAATGAAGTCCATCCTCTGGAATGTAAACTGTTTGAACGCATAAAAGAGTGCTTACGTTGAGGGTTGGAGAGATGCGGGTCACCGTTGTAGTCATGGTGAGCGTAAAAACAGTTGTCTCCCGCAAGCAATTTATAGCAGAGAAATGGAAAGGCTACAAGCTGGCATACTGTAGTTGTAGCATGCTGACCGATTCAATGAATTGTGCAAAAGAAAATCCAGACGTTCTTTTTTTCAGGCAAGAATGGATTGTCTCATTATGAGCATCACAAACAACTACCCTAACCATCAGGCAAGAATGGATTGTCTCATTATGAGCATCACAAACAACTACCCTAACCATCAGGCAAGAATGGATTGTCTCATTATGAGCATCACAAACAACTACCCTAACCATCACATTTGTGCCGGGCCATGTAGGTATTAAAGGCAATGAGCGTGCCGATTATTTAGCAGACAGTGAGGTCATCATGAATGGCCGGACACGGGACAGGAGTGATGTTATTAATGCCATGCGAGACATATATCTCAAAGAAGATCAAGACAACAAACAGGACTCAGTGTTCTTGTCCAGGCTGGTGGACAAAGCCATGTAATCTGGAGTAGCCAGATATGATCCTTTCACCAAAGACATAATGCATCTGGTTAATTAATCAGAACGCTCGTGATCAGTCGCTTTACTTCTGTGGAGCTATTAAGGAGATCGGAGCACCTGTGGATTTGTCCGGAGTGCTTTGGTGACTCTTCACTGAACACTAATCACTAATACTGCAGTCGTTTACTGGGCAAAACTGCTGTGAAACAGTCATGTCTAGTGAGCAGGAGTCAGGGATCATTAACAACAGAGGTTAGTAGCTAGTAAGTTTGATGAGGTTGTAAGCACCAATGTCGATGGGGGCGCACCATAATAGCTCCGTTCTTGTGTAGTGGGAATCACAGAAAATATCGTTCTCTGCTCCCTTGATTAACTTTTGAAAAAAGTGTCAGTCCCAGCAAAGTCTTGAAGCTTGCACCACCAAACTAAAAATGCTTGAGACCGCTGTGAAATGTGTCAGCACAAACGGCCCATCTCCAGAATGGCAACATAACAACAGAAATAACACAGTGATAGAGTCAGAGACCAGCTGTATAGTGATCAAAACATTGCTGACAACATTGTTTCTGTGCTGTATAGCTAGAACAGTAAAGCACTGAAAGTCTGAGGGTAAGTTCTCATGAAAGCTCTCAATAAATGTTATATCTACCAAGAAATTGTAGGTTCCCGACCACGTGCATGTTTGCATGTAAGTGTGTGTATGTGTGTGCGCATGTATGTGTTATAATTATGCCAAAGGAAAATGATACAGTGTGAGTATCTTCATATAACACTGGACAAGAGACGAGACTTCACAACCACAAGATGGTCAACACGTGACATCGTCAACTCTCTTACTCTAGCACTGTCACTGGCCTTTCTGATTGCTTGCGTTTGGACCTGAAATAACAGAAGAGAGATCAATTCAGTTTACAAGTTAACAAAATCTCAATGGCGAATACATCGTCTTCGTTATGGTAATAAATAAAGAATTAAAGGACGAATGTTTATAGTCCATTGAACTGACACAGTAACTAACGAGCATTGTTTTAACGAAGCTAATGAAATAAAGATCAATAGATACAGCTATAAGGAAAATACAAGCACTGTGATTTGGTCATGCGATGACGCAGAGGCTTTAAAGAATGTTGTGACAACTGGGAAGATCAAGTGTAGAAAAGGGGCTGGCAGACCACGACATATCATGACCGATGAACTGCGACGGTGGCAGAAAGGAACATCATTAGTGGAACTGATCTAGAAAACAAAGGACCGAGATGTGTGGAGATGGATGAACGCCTATGGCAATCAGCAGGGCACATGATGATGATAATGATGTTGATGATGCTGATGATGCTGATGATGATGGTGAATTAAAGCGCTTGAAAAATGCCGACATGTATACAAAGTCATAGGACGTGTACACGTGCTCAGGACCGCCTGTAGTCTGCAGTAAACTCAGGCCCTGTCCCTTCACTTCACCACAGAGACGCCTCCCTACAATTATTTTAAGAAAGACTCAACAGGAACCCTTTAATCATGGATATTTGCGATCTCTTTACCCATGAGTAGTTCGGATCCCTTTAACCATGGATAGTTCGGATCCCTTTAACCATGGATATTTCGGATCTCTTTAACCATAGATAGTTCGGATCCCTTTAACCATGGATAGTTCGGATCCCTTTAACCATGGATATTTCTGATCCCTTTAACCATGGATAGTTCTGTCACCTTTAACCATGGATAGTTGGGAACCCTTTACCCATGAGTAGTTGGGATCCCTTAACTCATGGATAGTTGGGATCCCTTTATTCATGAGTAGTTCGGATCTCTTTAACCATGGATAGTTGGGAACCCTTTAACCATGTATAGCTGGGATCCCTTTACCCATGAGTAGTTCGGATCCCTTTAAACATAGATAGGGGATCCCTTTACCCATGAGTAGTCGGATCCCTTTAACCACGGATATTTCTGATCCCTTTAACCATGGATAGTTCTGTCACCTTTAACAATGGATAGTTGGGAACCCTTTACCCATGAGTAGTTGGGATCCCTTAACTCATGGATAGTTGGGATCCCTTTATTCATGAGTAGTTCGGATCTCTTTAACCATGGATAGTTGGGAACCCTTTAACCATGTATAGCTGGGATCCCTTTACCCATGAGTAGTTCGGATCCCTTTAAACATAGATAGGGGATCCCTTTACCCATGAGTAGTCGGATCCCTTTAACCACGGATAGTTGGGATCCCTTTACCTATGAGTAGTTCGGATCCCTTTAACCATGGACAGTTCTGTCCCCTTTCACCAAGGTTAGTTGGGAACCCTGTAACCATGGATAGTTGGAAAACCTTTAACATGGATAGTTGGGAACCTTTTAACCATGAATAGTTGGGAACCATTTAACCATGGATGGTTGGAACCGCTTTAACCATTCGTAGTTGGGAGCCTTTAACCATTGAGAGTTGGAACCCCATCAGTCATGGATAGTAGGAACCCCTTTAATCATGGATAGTTGGAACCCCTTTAATCATGGATAGTTGGAACCCCTTTGATCATGGATAGTTGGAACCCCTTTAATCATGGATAGTTGGAACCCCTTTAATCATGGATAGTTAGGACCCCTTTAACCATTCGTAGTTGGGAACCCTTTAACCATGGATAGTTTGGGCCCCTTTAACCATTGATAGTTGGGACCCCTTTAACCATGGAAAATTTGAACCGCTTTAACCATTGATAGTTAGGCCCCTTTAACCATTGATAGTTGGGAACCCTTTAACCATTGATAGTTGGGAACCCTTTAACCATTGATAGTTGGGGCCCCTTTAACCATTGATAGTTGGGAACCCTTTAACCATTGATAGTTGGGGCCCCTTTACCCATTGATAGTTGGGAACCCTTTAACTATTGATAGTTGGGAACCCTTTAACCATTGATAGTTGGGACCCCTTTAACCATTGATAGTTGGGAACCCTTTAACCATTGATAGTTGGGAACCCTTTAACCATTGATAGTTGGGAACCCTTTAACCATTGATAGTTGGGAACCCTTTAACCATTGATAGTTGGGAACCCTTTAACCATTGATAGTTGGGGCCCCTCTAACCATTGATAGTTGGGAACCCTTTAACCATTGATAGTTGGGAACCCTTTAACCATTGATAGTTGGGGCCCCTTTACCCATTGATAGTTGGGAACCCTTTAACTATTGATAGTTGGGAACCCTTTAACCATTGATAGTTGGGACCCCTTTAACCATTGATAGTTGGGAACCCTTTAACCATTGATAGTTGGGAACCCATTGAACCATTGATAGTTGGGAACCCTTTAACCATTGATAGTTGGGAACCCTTTAACCATTGATAGTTGGGAACCCTTTAACCATTGATAGTTGGGAACCCTTTAACCATTGATAGTTGGGAACCCTTTAACTTTGTATTGTTCTCTTATTGAAAATTTATTGATACCTTTTAAATCATTTCAAAAATATAATTAAATATAGTTGCCGTTCAGCACATTATTGTCATCATTGTCAACGTTTTACTCAAGCCCCCTGTTGAGTCAAGAATCGACATCACGACACTCGGGACTCTTCCCATGTACGCACCGTCATCATCTTCAGCAGCCAGCTGATCTCCCCTAGAGACTATTTAAGGGAGCTGAGATACCCCGCACCATCCAATGTTCACTTTGTGTCGGCGCTACGGTCATCACTATCAGGTGGCAGTCAATACTTGTTGGAGTAGTTGAAATCCTCTCCCCGCAAGTCATGGAGTGAACAACCATCCCTACACTTTGGACTATTCGTGACGTTGACACCCCTAGCGGGCAGGTCACATTTCAAATTTAAACCCGTCCAGTGGGTATATAGTCCCTCATATTGATGTATACCTCTATCTGGTGGAATAAACATTTCTAGACCCTCTAGTTGTTTTGAGAAGTCTACATTTTCAAACTGTGGGATAGATGTTCTCTGGAATAATATTCCGAAATTCCTGTAAGCCTTTTTTACTCCTTGGGCACTAATACAGGACTTCTTTTCTAGAGACGCCAAGCGAAATCTGGCGCGGTCATTCTTTGCCAGACCTCTGAGGTGTCGAGACGCATTTCAAATCTCTGATTAAACCTTGGCGCATTCAAAATACCAGTTTAATCTTTTAAGGATTCCTAAGCTTGGGTAAGTTGATTATAGTTTACGAGTACCATGAAATATGTCTCTATAAAGTTAGCCACTGCTGCAGGGAGGGAAGATTCAGCTGTGGGACCGCACAGAACTAGGCCGTTCTTGGTGTCCAGACACACAAGCCCCTAAAATCAGACCTTTCCCTTCGCAGGCCAATAGTTTGTGCTCTACATGACCCACACGATTATAAAGATATTAAACCCAGCAAGTTAATTATTCTCTAACAAGACAACCGAGTTTGTTTCGATTAGCAGACATATTAAACTGGGTCACACTTCAGCCAGCTAGGCGCTGTGACGTCAGAGGGTATTTTTAGCACAACACAGTGTGTGCGATGAGCAGACGGTGGATGGTATAAAATTTAGATGTGAGAGAGAGATGGGATGTATATCTACAAGTGCAGAGGTGGGTGTGGAGAGTTGATGGTCTATGTTTGAGAGAGTCTATCTGACTCCACTGTTGTACTTGTCTCCTTTCCTTGTTCCTGGCTGACCGACAGAGAGAAATTTGGAGGCTTCTGCTGTTTCATTACCCTAGAGCTGTCCTCTGACTGATTGCCAGGGGTGGAGGGTAAATAAATGAGCTGAGCATGCAAACTCTGAGATGATTACTAATTCTTAGTTCCTTCCTAATACAGGATGATAACTCCTTGGAGGCCACGCATTGAATCAGCAGTCTAGAAAGGCACCAACCACCAAATTGCCCACTACAACATCACCAACCACAAAATTTACCTACTACCAAACCATCACTATGGCAAACAGCAAGGTGGGAGCCAAAGAGTAGGCATCTGCTTACAGACAGCGCCATTGACATTCACACCAGTGTGCCTTCTTCAGGAGCGTGTTGGGTTCCAGTGGCTGAAAGGCTGTTGTTCCAGTCCATCAGGACCAACCTCGGTCCAGAACACCCTCTTCAGGAGCTTGTTCAGCTCAAATTTTGATCTATGTGTGACTGTGTCTGCCAGATCAACAACTGAAGTGAACTTTCTCAGAAGGCCAGCCTGTTCCAGTATCATGAACTGATAAGTTCAGTGACTTCAACCTGTAATAGGAACAGATAAGTAGTGAACTCTGTGGTCATGCCGTGTTCTTTATTTACAGGTCCACGCCAAATCACAATGATGATGTCAGGCTGCCTCTAGGAGATTCCTCAATGTCCGTCAAGAAAATTTCGGTGTTGATCTTGCAATATTCCAATGCTTTTTATCTTCCTTTGAGTCATATATCATGTTGATGTTGAATTTATTACAGTATTTCTAAGGTTTTACTATTGGCTGGAGTGTCACTCATTCATTGTTCTTAGCTGTCTAAAGTACATGTATGTTCAATTAATAATCTTCATCTGTGTAAACATGGCTGTGATAGTATACTATCATAGCCTGGGGGCTATCTTTTTATAGTAGTGGGAGTTCCAGCCAAGTGTGCCTAGGAGTATTAGATATTCTGTAGTGCCAGAACTTGAGTTGCCCTACTCCTGAAATAAGTTGAGCGTATTTTGGCCACGGGATATCCCTTAGACCAATACGAGCCGATGCTTCAACATTATTATTTCAGAGTGCTGTTGGTTCTTAAGGAGAAATCCTTAAATCAGGCACGCGACACGAGCGGTATGTGACACCGCAACAGCGACTGGTATCTCTTTGATTGCCCTGCCTCTCTTTTTGTCCTGGAAACCTTGATGCAGTTCATGACCCCGAGGATCGTCTGCCTTAGAAAT